TCAACAAGAATCGACGTCTCACCAGCAGCAGCAGCTTCGACAGCGGCTCAAGGAACGTGAAGTGTGAAGGTCAGAAGGACCGACTGCTGACCGTGGTACCCCGGTCAGCACCAATCGAAGAAGCATAGACTCGGAGCTCCATAATTATCAGTATTGATATTTTCTGTTGTACTAATAAAATCGAACTCAACGTGTGTCGCAACGGACCAACGAATTTAAAATTCAGTTATACCCTAATTTAAGTTACGCTTACGCGCAAGTAAAAGTTCAATTTGGAATGCCCTTGGCACCCATTTAGTCTGGCAGCCAGAAGAAGGCAGCTGCATCTTCATAAGAATGTTTACTGTTCAAAAAGCAGCTTTCTCTTGCGCACTCGAATTGCCTTCGACTAGGTCAAATGTTCAAATTGCAGGATTTTCATCAATCCTCTCCCTCAGCAATTGGACAGGCGGAAATTTGAAATGTTACGTGCGTGTTGATATATGTTGCACGCCACTGCAAGTCTAATATCTGTTTTCACGAGATCTGCCTTAGTCATAGAATCGGCAAACTTTAGTATCCCCGTTTCATGGCTTCACAGCACTGATACACGTTAGAAAGCGAAATTGGAAAAAACTGTTTCAGTCGACGAAAAGACCTGCAGGAATATATACCACATGATTTCACATATGAAGCTGTAAAGTAAGGACTACTCATACTGCGAACCATCTGAACGCTTCACAAAGCTGCGCAAGAACGCATGGTTTTGTTAGCAAATCCAGTACGTTCAGCTACTGACTGTTAGTGACAGCGGTAGAAGCGCAATAGTTCAAAAGTGTTTTACCATAACTGACATGAATCCTCGCTCCACTAGCTTCCTTTCATCACCCACTGCAATGCTTTCCAGTTCCTTTATTGAGTCCCAAAAATCATAAACCTTCTTCAAGGCATCACTCGTGTTTGTCATGACAGCATCTTTCGGAAATACCTTACGGTATGCCAAAGTAATGTTGCTCCTCATTTCCATTAGACCAGAAAACCGAAGTTCCCTTCAAAAACCTTTTTTTGAAACATACTTTCAAAACTTCAGACAGAAGCCTCGTGTACAATTGTAAATTGTTGGCATGATACAGACCAAGCGAGAGAAGGCGGTAAACAGACAAACGGCGGTAACAATCTTAGATGCAACTGAAAATGTTTACGTATAATATTTCTATGCGACTGATTGCTTATATGCATGCATGTGCATGTAAGTATGTGTGTAGGTATGTGTACGCAACTTGATAATTCCAGCGCTGCGAAATCAATATCCTTAGAATATCTGCGTTGAACTACGCACGTCGTTGTAAAAGTTAAATCAGTTTAGATCACATTTTGTCCCTCGGTGTTTTCTTTACATGCGTTTTTTTGAATCTGTGCAGTGCAAGAATCCGTACTGTCGAGAGCTTGTCTGTCCCTATGTCTCTATTTTCATATGTGCCTATTTTTCATTTTGAGACCTACAAAAGCTACAACGTTGAAACTTTGGGAACTTAACCTGCATGCATATATGGCTTCTATCAGCGAAATGGACGTTCTTGCCCAAATGGTTCGCACGTGAGGGCCCATGAAAGTTTGGCGAACAAGTTACAAACTTAGAAACCTAAAAGGCTAGAAGGCTAAAATTTTAAGGGGGTGTTCTCTGTTCATATAGGAATGAACG